TTATGCGTTATGCAAAAGTCTGTGCTCCCCGCTTTAAAATACCTATTGTAGATTAGTGATGCCGTTTTCTGAAATCGAATCGATTTTTTTGATAATCGATTCATTTTCGAGGCCACGATTTTTTTAATCGATTTAAGAGAAAAGAATCGAACGATTCTGAAGAATCGAAAAAAAACGCTACAAATGCTTCGAAGCATTTTTTGATTGATCAATTAGTAAAATTTTTTGGTATGATATGACAACATTTGCTCTGTGTATCAATAATATGAATAAATAAGTTACGGTTACATTGTAGGACTCTATTAATAACGAGTACTCAGAGACTGTGTTCTAAAATTCACTACCAGCGCTAAAAATCTATAGTTTACGTTACGTGTATTATGACCGCGGTCCGATTCATGCTCGCAACGCTTAAAAATCATTTCATCCTTGTTGTTTGTCAAATGTTGAACGAAGACAAATAATGCTCATAAGCGTTGTCAGCATGAATCGGACCACGGCCTATATATTTTCAGCACTGGCAGTGAATTTTGGAACACAGCCAGAATAATCGATTCAAGCTGAAAAAAAATTGAATCGAGAATAAATCGTACTTCTCAGAATCGTTGGTAAATCGATTTTTTAGTACGAAAAAAAATCGATTCTCGATGCATCGAATCGAAATCCAGCACCACTATTGTAGATCCGAACTTAACGACTTTTCCTCTCACATTTTTCAATATTTTCTAACCAAATATTCACATTATTCTGTCTTCTTAATTTATTATTGGTCAAATAGGATTCGATTAGGAAATCTACTACTACTATTCAGGAAAAAGGAAGACGTAGGACACAGAAAATTTTGTGAATGATGGCTTCTGCTGGAAATGTGAGGAGATCTACACGGATAAAACCTCAAGTGAAATATGCAGAAGTCAGTGATGGGGAAACACCTGTTAGCAGTCGTAAGATTACATTAATATAAATTATTATAAACATTCTGGTTAGATAATATAATTATTAGTTAATATAAATCTTATAGAAGTAGTCTGTTATTTTAAGAGATTTACTCACTTTAAACTATAACTTGTTGTACAGTTATACTGCACTATCAATGTGATCAGTGCATTGTTTATGTTTTTGTAGCACAAACTAATATATTGAATGCTGAGATAGAGGAACAACTAAAAGATATCGAAGAGGATGTACAAAAACCAGTTGGTAATTGCTAAAGATTTATATGAATAGCTATTTTATTCTTATCTAATGTTGTGTTAATATGTTTTAGAATTATTTTCTGAGAAGGATGTAAGTGGAAGAAAACTATATGGATTTCAAACGCCAACAAAAAGAAACAGCATGATGATTAAAGCTAATCAGTGTCGTACACCTGAGACTCCAAAAAGTTTCAAAACACTTCCAATTTTAAAAGTTGTTCTTGACGATGTTCTTGCAAACTCTAACAATCAAATGGTCAAGAAGGATAGCAAAGGTCTTCTGTTTTATAAAGAAACTTTGTTACAAATTATAAAAAACATATTTGCATCTTTTAATTTCTTTTTTTTTATAACTTAGTCTCTCGAAAACGATATTTGCCCAGTGTAAATTCAAGTGGCGACGAGAGCGTGTCAGAAGACAGTGAATATATACCTTCAAATGATGAAATCAGTTCAGAGTCTTGTAAAACTTCTGATAAAAGTGAGGATAGCGATAATTCTGATGTAAGCCAAGAAAATAATACCAGAAGGAAAGTTGTAGGAAAAGTATTGAAACCTTTATTAAGACGCCAGGTACAAAGTACACCTAGGAAAACAAGGAGAGGACATAAGACTGTTGCTTACAAGGATTACGTAAGTTGGGATTAACAAGACTGTCTTAAATATTTAGCAAATTATATGTAAATATTTCAATTATGATCCATATATGTATAGTTTATTGATGAATTTTTTTTAACATTTAAAGCACATAAAAACCGACGAATATTTTGAATCTCAATCAGAAAAAACAGTTACATCTGATCGTACATTAGAAAGACTCAAGAACGCTCGTCTCACCGAAGAATCACTAGGAAAGTTATTAATAAATCAAAGTCATATTTCTACAATCCATAAAAAACATATTTGTTCATTGACAGAAAATTGTAGATCGTTCTTTCCTATGTGGCAATTCATATTGGAGTAAGTATTAAATATGGTTGAATATTTTTTAATGAAACATTATTTTAAAACTTTTGTTATATTTTAGAGAAGGTTACAGTCTGCTACTTCATGGAGTAGGCTCAAAAAGAAATTTAATAAATGATTTTCATAATGAGATTATACGAGATCATCCAACATTAATTATAAATGGATTTTTTCCTAGTTTAACACTGAAAGATGTAAGTTAAATCCATTATTAATTAAAAGGATATGTACGAAAGTTGTATATTAAATGTTATTTCAGATACTCGATAACATAATAACGGATTTGTTAGATTTAAATTGTCCAACAAATCTTAATGATTGTTTAGAACTTATAGAAACAGTTATGAGAGATAATCCGAATGATCGACTTTATTTAATAATTCATAATATTGATGGGATAATGCTGCGTTCGAATAAAGCTCAAAATATACTTGCCAGTTTAGCAGCCATTCCAAATATCCATGTTCTAGCATCTGTTGATCACATAAATGCACCACTTCGTAAGTTAATATCATTATCCTGATTTTGAAATTGATTTGTTATTAGTTAACGTCGCTAATTTGTTGATTTAGTTTGGGACCATGTAAAACGCGCCAAGTTTAATTTTTATTGGTGGGATGCAACAACATTATTGTCATATCAAGCGGAAACGTCATATGAAAGTTCCTTACTGGTTCAGCAAAGCAGTGGACTCGTGTTATCCTCTCTTCAGAATGTCTTCCTATCCCTCACATCAAATGCTCGAGCAATTTATTTGATTCTTGTCAAATATCAATTGAACAACAGCAGTAGTAATTTCACAGGTAATTATTATTCAGTCACAATTAGTGTTCTATTATGTTATAATAACTATAATTTGATGATAATTTCATGACGCCATTTTAGGGATGCCGTTTAGAGATCTATATCGAGCAGCACGCGAACAGTTTCTAGTTAGTTCTGATTTGGCGTTAAGGGCACAGTTAACTGAATTCATTGATCATAAATTGCTACGAATTAAACGTACAGTTGACGGCGCTGAACACCTAATGATACCTCTTGATAAGCCTCTTCTTAAACAATTTATGGAGCAATATGGATCATAATTGATGAACATAAGAAAAAGTATATATTTTTATAATAGTTGATAATATAAGGAAAATAATAGTTTAATGACTGAAAATTCAACTATTAATTTCTTTATTGTATATCACTAATTTATTGCATTTTATTTTTTATTCATTGTATTTCATATAAAAAGTAAAAAAGTTATATAGACATCAATAAAGTACCTGATATTAAAGATCGACAATCTTATGAAAATTCGTATACAACTTAAAATTTAGATTTAATTCATAATATTAATATCACAATGCTCGTATGACATTAACTTTATGATTTTTTTATTATCTTGATGTTTGATATGTATCTACATACATTTAGGACTTAATAATATTCATATTCAATTTAAAACTGCAATTTTGCTATTCGAATTTGATTATCTATGTGAGCAATAATTGTGGAAAAAAATTATAGTTTTGCAATATATATCATTGCGTCTTTATATATATTGATGAAATATATGTATAACAATATATCATTTAATATGGCGAATTTTATAGTGCATTAAAAACTAATTATTTAAGTGCCAGTAATAAAAAAATGTTAGTAATAAAAAATTAATTTGTATAATCGATGATATCGATATTGATCAATTATCTCTCTACTGATTGTAACAAAAAATTTTCTCAAATTCGTTGATTATTAATAATGTCCTGTTGGTTATTTCGGTATGATCTTTACAAGATTTCCTTTTAACTTGAAGCAAAAAGTAAAAAAATAAGGACAACATCACACGGTGTTCCCAAGCGGTCACCCATCCAAGTACTAACCGTGCTCAACGTTGCTTGACTTCAGTGATCGGACGAGAACTGGTATTTCCAACGTGATCTGGAAGTTGTCCGATTGTATAGAACATTTGGAAATGGTTTTGTTTGATTTTGTGATTCATAATCGCCTTCATTGTTTTATGTAGCAATATAATAAGTAATGTTAATTGTATTGTTATATTAAAAAAATGACGTTATGAACAAATCTGAATGATAATTACAAAATTACAGTTTTAAATTGAAATTGAATCATGAGCCAAGCTCCCTAGCCTTTTATATATTTTTCTAAGTTTGAATTTTATTCGTTTGAGCCTTTTAGTTTACTTTTAAATTAAAAAAAAACGTTATATAAATATATAAACGCATAAATGTTTCATTGAAAAGTTATAACGAAAAATGCAAAAATAACTAGCTTATTTGACTAGTTTCTTTGTTTGATATAGAAATAGATTGTTCGTTTATATTATAACTCCATTTCAAAATGTTGTCCCTTACGAATCCAAGACTGGCATTTACGAAAAATAGAACTGTTGAATTTTACATTCTAAATGTGAAAAATATACCATTGCGCAATCAACAGACGGTAGTGCACGCATGCGCGGTCTAGTGAGATTGTCCCGCCATCGCTATCACGCGACTTGCGGAGCATCGCAAAATTAACGCGAGTCAAATGAAGGCGCCAATCGTGTCCGCGATTAGAAGATACTTTTATACGTGATAAGTGAACGATGTGCGAAAGAAACGGTTTAATATAATCGCACAATGAGCAACAAGACACTGTTTCCACGCGCAAATATAGTTACTTCCGAAATGTCGTTTTTGTCGCGACGCGCCTCGGCGAAATCGAGACCGATCAGCGATGTTAGGTTATGTGCCTCGAAGCGCGGCACTACGAAGTTGTCCGATTTACGTCGATTGCGACTTCGATAATCGCAACAGTTCGAAAGTCGCGATCGGCGCCAATGGTCGGTTGGTTCGTCGTTGTCCCGTGAGCTCCATTTCTCTTTCGTGGACGAAAAGGAAAGGAAATCTCGGCCCGTCCGGCCGTCGCGTCGTGCTCGCGACCATCGTCGCGACATTCGTGAACGGGAATCGTGAAATCTGCGAGATTGCTGCAGCCTAGACGGCGCCCGGCTCCGTCAGTCGACGACGTAAACAACGCGTTCCTCGCATGACCGCTCTGACCTTACACTGGTAAGTCGCACGCGCGCGCGCAACCTTGACTTTCGGATTAAGTTGTGCATAGAGAGGAAGTGAGAAAGAGAGAAATGAGAGGGAGAGAGCAAAACGCCGCGCCGTGTCATGGAGAAGTAGCGGCGCGTGCACGTTTTTCCTGTGAAAACAGCGATGTCACTTGCGAGGTATTCACGAAGATATTCGTGTCGGAGCTTTGGGGCGTGGGGATATTTCTAAATTCATGCCGCTGCCGAACAGTCTCTTGTTCTTATAATATACTCTTTATTATATACGGAATCTTTAAAATTTATGAACGAGAGGTATCAATTCCTCTTGTGAAGTACTTTTTCTTAGATTCTCAATTTCTTTCCTCGCTGTGAGACATGAAAAACGGAGTCACAGTTGATTTAATGAGGATAATTGTCATTAAGTTGCCAGTGGAACGACAATCATGTTTATAATTTTTTTTTGTCTCACTTTTGTACCTGGGGATCAAATATAAACTTTAACTCCAGATATGTACATTCATAACTAACATAAGGATTCATTCGTTACAGGTCGTGTTTGTCGGATAAGCCTGTGTGACTGGTTCAGTTGTTATACTAAAGTAATTGTTAAACTGTTTTCATCCTGTTTCATAGGTAAGTGTTTTAAGTTATGTTATTTTTCCCATTTGAAAGAGAACTACTTTGGAATGCAAAATCGCTTCGACTGCCAATATGGAGCAGTGTAACTCTGAATGCTGTTTGCTGTCCATGTGTTGTCGTTTTAAACCAATTTTATACATATTACTTTTATCTCTTTATTTGTCATATTTTGTTTAATGATAATTATTGTTACACACTGTATCTGAAAGGACACTGTGCACAGAGGTGTGTGTAATAAATGGAATGTAATACATACACACACATATATATATAAAATATAATATCAATTAGTCCTCTTTCGTATGATAGTTTTTTATTCTATGATTTTTTTTATTTATCTGACAAAAGCTTTAAAGTGCTTTGACGTTCTTTGTTGTTTTATTGGCATTTTGACCATACTTTTGCGAGTTTTATATCATTGTTAGAAGGACACGAAACAGTATTATAGACGTGTTCTGTTAGACGTATTTGGGTATTACCAGATTTATTTATGTTGAATAGTGCAATATGATAATTATTCTTACGCTACTACTGTTTTCACTTTCAAAATTTGACTATTGGGAAAACATTGAATATCATTTTATAAAAATTAGTAAACATTGTTACTTTTATGTCAGAGATTAATAAGCAAAGGTATGACTTTTCTACATAATTAGGAAAAATATTTTATTAAAAATGTTTTTTTAACTATTGAAAGAGTAATTTTGTAAATCTTTAAACAAAAACGTAAAACTTTTGCTCTCGTAATAGTTATCAAATTATCTGATAAGATTGCAGCTTAGGTAATGCCATTTATAATTCATTTATAAAATTGAATCGACCAATGATTTATAAATAAGTTATTAAAATTTGTTTATGTCGCGAGAATAATTCGTTCCTCTTCCATGAATCATAGGATGCTCGATTCATGGATGTTCTCAGAGAAATTTAAATCATTAATTTAAAATTTCTTTTTTATAAAGTAGTAGTTTTGTAATATTTAATAACATTAATTACAGAGGAAGTATGTATGTACCATGCCTCCACCAATTGCATATTGCAACGAAATTACTTTCAAACGCGCTGATAGATGGCGTTACATTGTACATCTTAACCGCGTGTTATTTTTTTTAGTCATATAGTTGAATATTTAATATCAAAATTTAGCAGGGTTGGGTAGTAACTAAAATAAATTAATACTTAATAAATTAAAAGTTAAATAAAAGGTTAAAAAGTTAAAACTTTTAACTTAATTTGGTTAATTTTAAATGAATTTATTTTTAACTTAATTTAATTATTTTTAAACTATAATGTATTAACTTTTTTTTTTAAGTTTTGAACATTTTTTTATCCCTCTAAATGCTATTATTTTTTCTATAAAATCTTAAAAATTATGGAATTAGTTTAGAAAAATCTCAATCATTGTATGATGAATGCGACTCGTAGTGGCTAAAGCTGTGAGTTCGATCTACATTTAAGAAAAACTATCAATCTATTGCGTCATTCTTTCCTTGTTTTATCTAATGGACGATAAAGAAAGAATAAAAACTTATCTATATATAATATTTGTACATTTTAAAATATAAAAGCACCTATTTAAAAAAATACTGAAAATCAGTTTTTTATTGTACAAGAAATATCTTTGTTATTTCATATAATTAACAAATAAAGTATTAAATTTATTTGATAATCTATATTGTAATTGTTTTGTTATTTAAAGTAATGTTATTTTAAGAAAAATTAAAATATTCTGATTTAATAAAAATAATTTTTTTCAAAATTAACTTTTCAACTTGAGTTCAATCTTAACGTAACTTTAACTGAATTAATTTTTTATTTATCCAACTTTTAACTTTTAACTAAGTTAATTTTATGAGCCATTAACTTTAACTTAATTTGGTTAAAAAAAATACATTAACTACCCAATATTCTGAAATTTATAATAGCCTAGGGGATGTAACAAGAAACAGTATATTTATGGCATGGGCCATACGGGGAATAACCAAGCCTTTGTATTGTATTTTTTAAACAAAAGAGGTATCTTGTTCTTTTTAATTGCACTAAGTCTGCACTGATTATTTGTTTTTTTTTCTTTCTGAGATACAATACATATAATACATACAATACATACATGTATTGTGACATTTTTTAGGAATGGTTTTGACAATACAATATGAGCTAAAAGTACAAACTCAGTCAAACAATCGCACGAAACAAAGTTTAGCTTATAATGTTTATATACAAAATGATCATATTTTTCTGCAATTTTGGATTAGTAACTTTTAACCGAGTAAGTGGATCCAAATAAACTTTGGCACGAATATGTATTATTATTTGATTAGTAGATGTATAAAATTTGATTTAATTCTTAATGATTTAATTCTTACTTCCTCATCAAATTTGCAAATAAATATTACAAAACGCGATTTTAGTTAAGAATCATAACAAACAAAAAA